TCTGGATTAGGAAGAGCAGACCTGCACAGGACGTTATCCATTGTCCTTGTTGCGTACTTAGCTCAGAAGTAGGAGCAGAGATTTGGAAAGACTTGAGAAGCAGGGGTGAAGCACAGAAGCAGGGGTGAAGCACAGCTGCCTTAAATTTTTTTCTTTTTTTCCTCTGTGGTAGAGAGAGGGATAGCTTCTCCCAGCCAGCACCACCCACTTTCTCCAAATACCAACTGGGTCTAATTATGTGACTTCAATTAGGGATAAAACAGTGGTCAGAAAGATCCTCTTGGTACCAGAGATACCAGTGATCTAAGCAACAAGGAAGGAAAAAAGTCTAGGTGGTAGCCCAACAGCCTTTCTTTGAATCTCACAGAGACTAGTTTCATTTTCTTTTTCAATCCATCCTTATCAGTCACCCATCCTACATAACTTCTTTTTGTAAACACGTCAGAATGGTGAAGATACCCCTAAACACTGTGCATGGTTTCACTCACCTGTGCACACCGGAGTTAAAGGGTCAAGGACCCAGGAAGCTACCCTCTCAAAGGACCTATTTTTACTTCAGCTTTCTTCTTAGGTGGTAAATTTTGTTCTCTGTCATCTATTTCAGAACACTATGGTATCCAGCCCATGTATAGAGCCCACAGAGACCCATTTCAACCCTCTGCATCCCTCCCCTATCTCCTGTCTCATCAGCCTTTTTCTCTTAGTGAGAGAGGAAGATTCTGAATAGTATTTCATCTCCACTAGGAGTAGCCTGGGCCCAAGGAAGGAGATCAAGAACTACCCATTTGAAGGGTGTGGAATTTGGCAATTTATCATCCTACCTTTCCTTTCTGGTCTAATTGAGACTGAGATTGTGCCCAGACCACAGAGAACTCCTTTCTCCTCACAGCCCGGACTCAGAAATCAGATAAACCAAAGAAGTAATTTTATTTCAAGCTGTGGCCAGAATCAACTCAATCTACTATAGAACATTCCATCAAAAAGAAAGGTTGTACCGTTTTACATTTCCACCAGCAGTGAATAAGAGTTCCAATCTCTCCACAACTTTGCCAGTACTTTTTGTTTGCTGCTTCTTGAACTCTGTTTTTGTCGTTGGGATAAGATGATATTCCATGCTTGTTTTGATTTTAATCCCTCTGAGAGCTAGGGATTTTGAACATGTCTTCATGTGTTTGTTTGCCATTTGAATGTCATCTTTGGTGAAGTGTCTGTTCATATTCAGTGTACCTTTTGTGATTGGGTTGTTTATATTTTTCTTGTTGAGGTGCTGGAGTATTCTATAAATTTTAGATATGAGTCCCTTGTCATTGTCAAATATTTTTTTCCAGTCTGTGCATTTCCTTTTTACCCTGTTGGAGAAAGGGGGTTTTAATATGCATAAGGATTTGACTCTTAAAAGGTCCCATTCATCTATTTTATTCTCTCCTGGTTGTGGATTTTTCATTAATCTTGGAAGTCTGTTCATGCTGTGAATTAGGGCTTCGAAAATTGTTTCTAACTTTTCTTTGATGAATTTTATAGTCTTTGGGTTTACTCCTAGGTCTCTTATCCACCTTGCGTTGTTTTTTGTGTATTGTATGAGGTGTGAGTCTTTCTTAAGTTTTCTGCAGATGATTTACTAATTTTGCCAATGTCATTTGTTAAAGAGGCTAGTCATTTCTCCACTTACCTTATTTCATCTCCTTGTCAAAAGTCAATTGACCATAGGTAGATGAGCTGATTTCTAGGTTCTCAGTTCTATTCCATGTGTCTATGTGTCTGTTGCTATTCCAATACAATGCTGTCTTGAGCACTATGACTGTGTAGTAGGATTTGAGTTCAGGAAGTGTGATTCCTCCTACTTTGTTTCTCTTTTTCAGTAGTGCTTTGCTTATTTGGGGTCTCTTCCCATTCCAGATAAAATTGGAAATTGCCTTTTCCATCTTGTTGAAGAATAGAACTGGCGAGGTTGTAGAGAGATTGAAACTCTTATTCACTATTGTTTGAAATGTAAATGGTACAACCACTATGGGAGGTGATCTAGTACTTTTTAAAAAAACTTGTAAATATAAATAACACTGACCCAGCTATTCCACTACTAGGAATATACCTTAAATAAATCAGAACCTGTGACTCAAGCTGATGTATGAATACCCAGGTTTATTGTTGTGTTGTTCACAATAGCAAAGAGATGGAAGCAATCCAAGTGCCCATAAACACATGACTGGATAAGAAAAACTATGGTACCTTCACACAATGGAATATTATGCAGCACTGAAAAATACTAAACTCATAAAACATTACACTACATAGGTGAGCCTGGAAGATGTAATGCTGAGTGAAATCTTTCAGCCACAAAAGGACAAATGTTGCATAACACTGCTGTTATAAAATAGGACTGACAAAGGGGGTTGGAGAGAGAATAGGAAAAGTGTAGATAGAGAATGAACACTAAACTGCAACAGATGAGGGGAAGAACTGCCTGAAAGAAATACATGATTAGGCATTATATATATGACAACAATGTGGAGCAAGAGGTGCATTACAAAGTGGACTGGGGAGGGGGAGGGAGGAAAATGTGTAACAATGAATTATTTTTTTAAAAAAAAGAAACTATAATGAGAGAGAGAATTAGGAGAGTTCAGTGGCAAAAATTTGTGGTCCTGAAAAAGCTCTAGTTCAGCTTGAGGTCTTTACTTTCAGCACTGAGTCTTCAAGAATGCACAGGATTAGCATGGCAGGGTGATAATTATTTCATATTTATTGCTCTAAAAAGCTAACATTCATTGTGTCAGGTGCTTCATCTCCTGGTCAGGTGTTTCTTCCCATTTAATCCTCACAAATTTATCCCATTTTATAAATTAAGAAATTAAATCCTAAGGAATTTTAGCAGTTTGTCCAAAAATACACATGTTCAAGGTGACAGATCCAGGATATGAATCCATACAGTCTGGCTCCAGAGTTTGGACTCTCTCACCCTGACCTATGACAGAATGGCCTCAGGGCTGTGGCTTCTTGGGGATGGCACTAATATAATTCAGGACATATCCTGAATATCCTCTACATCTTGGTATAGGAGGGGTTTTCAGATCCTTTTCTAAATTTATAAATTTAAAATGTGGAAGCTGATAAATCAAGGTACTCCTAGGGAGTAGGAATGAGGATAGAAGTCTGATGGATAATACAAAGAGGAAAAACATTAACAACCTCAGAGTTCAGCTTGGGGTTTGCCTTAACCGAGACCAGTTAGCCCCTTAAACCCTGGAGGGTCAGGCCTTTCAAAGCATTCAGTGGTTGGCCATATAAGACCCCTCTCAGGCTGTAAGAATGTCCCTAATCTCAACTTTGGGAATGATTAGCATGATCAGAGAAAGAGCAAGAATTCTTAATAGAATCTATTCTAATACAGGAACAGGAGTCTGCTTGGCCTAAAAATAAACACGAGGGGGTCCCGTCTGGAAAATGCCTAAGACTGGTGAGGCTGAGATTGCCTTCTATAACCTGCTCAGGAATAAAGGTTCTCGGAGTAGAGGATGCAGGAAAAAAGAGAAGCAATAGCTCCAAGCAGAAGCCCCGCTTCCCTCATCAGTCTCTGACCTGACTGATTCCAGGCATCAGTAGAAAGGACAGAATTCCCAAGGTTTCATTTTCAGCTCATCCAAGTCCACTCCGTCATGCTTAACACACACTTGCAGAAGGGTCAGTGGGGAGAGTTGAAAAGAGTGAAAGGCAGCAAGAAGGAAGGAAAGATTAGAGTCTGTGTTACTGGGTATTTTGATTACTGGGTATTGTTTTTGTTGAGACATAATCCACGTAGTTCCTAGTTTTGATGGAACTCTGTGCCTGGGCCCAGGAAGATTAATTGGTTAGGAAAGTAGTCTCAGCACTAGCATTAGCACTGACATCTAAAAAAAAAAAAAAAAAGGAAAAAAAACAAAACAAAACCAGAACCCAGTCGGAGGGCTATTGGACTAGAAGCTCTGAAATGGGTGTCACTGAAAATGTGGCAAGTGCTCAGCCAAAACTGATTTGATCTGGAACTGAGAGTTAGAGCCTCATCCTGGGCTAGAAGTGACATATCAGCGTATCAGTGGACTTCGCTCAGAACTCCGTGATGGAAGAAATAGGATGAGACTCTTCCTGCCCTCAAGTCATGCCTGGTATGAAGTTCACAAACTAGTCACTAGGAATCAAGAGATGAAATACTATAGGCATGTTGCCAGGAGGGGCCAGTCCTTGGAAAAAGGTATCATGCTGGGAAAGATAGAGTCAGCAAAAGAGAGTAAGGTCCTCAGTAAGACTGTAACAATGGGCTCAAGTACATTGGCGACTGTGAGGATAAGACAAAGTGCCGCTCTGTTGTTCATAGTGTCACTGAGTCCTACTTAACTCCACGGTCCACAACAACAAAGGTCAAGACAAGAGCAGTGGATGCTGATGGCACACTGGCCACATCCTGAGGGTATAATGTAGATATCCCTTTAGTCCTTGAGTAAAGTCACTCATCTATTCTAGTAACCACGTAGGTGAAGGGAGCATTAAAGATGCTGGCTCGCTTTCTAGATTGTGAGAAGAGTCAATTTAATGTGTTCTCTAAATGCTTCTGAGTATGAATAGACCTTGAACACCCTCATCCGCAGCCATCAAAAGGCTACCAGCATGTCATTTTCCACGTTCCCCTGATAAAGAGGCATGGTAAGATGCTTGGTCAGGAAAGAAACTGACCAGAGAGAGGCCCTTCCCACTGTAGAGAATGGAAGACAGAGGATTATTTAGAAGCAGGATTATTGTAAAGATGGAGCCCAAGAGTGTTGAAGCCCTGCAACAATCTGACACCATCCCCTCCTCAGCAACCCACATGCATGGAATGCTGTGCTATTTCTGCCCCCTTGTCAAGGGACACCGTCGTTTTTCTGCCCATCTTCTGACCCCTCCCCTTCTCCTCCCTCTTGCATTTGGCAGATCCAGGCAGCTATTCCGAGAGCAGGAAGCCAAGCACAACAGGTGCTCAGAAGGTCATCATGATCAGCCCAGACCCCAGGCCCTCCCCTCGCTTGGCTCGTAGGGCTGAGAGCTACGAGGCCAAGTGTGAACGCCGGCTGGAAACCAGGGAGCACCTCTGCTGTCGCCGTAATGTGACCACTTGCCGCCAGGTGGGGAAGGTACTGAGGTCTCAACAAAGAGAACAGCTCAAGACGGCTCGCCAGCAGCAGTTCTTCAGGAGAAGGAACCTGGAATTGGAGGAGAAAGGCAAAGCAGAGAGTTCTCGGACTAGGGAACAAGGTTCTTCCAGGAGAAAAGACGAGACAAGTGACTTCAATGAGCCCTCACCTCAGACCAGCAGTGCTTCCCCTGGACAGCAGGTGGGCCGTGTCAAGGGTGGAGTGGGAGTTGGTGTACAAAGGGTGAGGCTCAAAATCATTAACAGGGAACTTAATGTAAGTTCCCTCTTCCTCTGTCATACAGCAAAGCCTCTGTTAGCTGCTTATTCACTCAGAAGTTATTTTATTTGTGTTTGTTTCATTATTTTGTTTTGTACTTATCTTTTAGAAGGGGAAAAAATCCATCCTACATTAATTCCATAGGTAGTATCTATTATCCATTCAAAATCCAAGAAACTTCTCTTTACCATCTACAGCTGTCTTCTACCATTTATTCCTCAGATATTTCTTGAATGCTTATTGCAGACCTATTATAGGTATTCAGTCCCATTTCCTGAATGTTTCCTTTCCCTACAAACACACACATCATTTCCTTTCTCCATTCTTCTGAGTAGCTGCTGCACACACCTAGCTTCTCAATTTCACTTAGGTGATTTCAATTCTATTACCTTTATTTGGTTATGGCCTCATCTGGTTGAGGAAACCAGGCCACCTTGCTCCCTGCATGGCTTGTGAGATTCTAAAATCTTCTAAAAGTGTGGAACTCTGAGAGGGCTCAGTAGTCCAGCCTTGGAAGAAGTAGTCTTGAGGGAAAGGGGGTGAGGGAAGCAGGTCCATCTAGAAAACCTCACCCAGCAAATGATGTCTTTTCACTCAAGCTGTGCTCATGTCAGGGGTCAGCCCACTGTTTTCCCTGAAAGGTCCTGGCATTGAGCCATTTCCAGATGAGGTGCTCAGTCAGGGCTTACCTAGTAGATCTGTAACCACAAGAGTCTGTTCCCTGTTCAGAAAGCAGTCCTGGAGATCTGTCATTGTTATGTACTGTGGACGTCAGAACTGACCCATAGCTGACCCTCCAGAGGGTTTTCAGAGGCAGTTAATTGCATGGGAGGAGATTGCCCATCTTTCTCCCATGGAGTAGCTGGTGGCCTCGAACCACATGCCTTCAGTATTGCATCACAGGCCTTCTTACCAATAGGCCACATGCAAACTTCTTGCAGATCTGTAGGTTCCCATTTTAAGAGAAAACCAATCAAGTGCTCCCTTGCTTGACCCAGTGGGCTGATAGCTATGAGGGCAAAGATGAGCAGTGGCTGGAGAACTGGGAAAGCCATCACTGCCTCCATAATGTGACCACTTGCCACAAGTTGGTGAAGGAACAAGGACAAAGAGAACCACTTAAGATAGCTCAACACAGCATCCTTTAGGAGAAGGAACCTGAAAGTGGAGGGGCAAGTCAAGGCAAAGTCCTCAGGCTGAGAGCAAGGTTCCTCCAGGAAGAAAGGCAGGGCAAGTGACTTCAGTGAGCCTCAGGCCAGCAAGCGGACAGCATGTGGGCCAGGCCACGTGTGTACTGTCCAGTAGTGTGGGAGAGCTGTACAAAGGGTGAAGCTTCCGGTCACTAAGAGGGGACTAAGCATAAGTCCCTTTGTCCCCAGTCATACAGTAAAGCCTCCATTCGCCATTCATTCATTCAAAATATGATGTTTTGTGTTTGTTATTTTGTTTTGTATTTGTCTTTTATGAGAGAAAAATATCTTTTAAAAAAAAATTCCAGTGCTGATATCAAAACTCAAGAACTCTACTTATCTTCTACAGCTACCTTACACCATTTGTTCATCAGATATTTATTGGATGCTAGCTCTGTCTTGGAGAGAGTGAAACCAAGTTTCTCTCTGGAGGTTAGGATTGTGAAGCTCCATCTCACATACTTTGGGCAAAAGGGACCAGTCCTTGGAAAAGGACATCATGCTCTAAAGGGTAGAGGGACAGCACAAGAGGAAGATCCCGAATGAGATGGATTGATACATTATCTGGGGCAATGGGGGTAGGTGTGTCAGAGTCAGTGAGACTGGCTCAGAACAGGGCAGGTTTCAGAGCTGTTGTACATAGGCTTACTATGAGTCGCAGGCAACTCGATGGAACATAACAGCAATTATAGACTAGGTCTCCAATCCCATCCCCTGAATGTTCTCTCTCCCCACAGATGCACACACATCACTTCCCTTCTCCACTCCTCTGAGCAGCTGTTGCACCCATCTACCATCTTACTTTCTCAAGTCATTCTAATGAGATGTATTTGGTTATAGCCTCCTCTGGCCCAGGAAGACAGGCCACTTCTCTGTGCATGCTTTGTGAGATTATAAATCTTTTAAGAATGTAAGAGTATAAATCTTCTTAGAGGACCCATTAGTCTGACCTTGGAAGGAGTAATCTTGGGGGAAAATAACCAGGATACACCTGGATGACCTCACCCAGCAAATGATGTCTTCTCACACCAACAGCAGGATCAGCCTGCGGTTTTCCCTGGAAATTCCTGGCATTGGGCCATTTCCAGAGTAGGTGGTCAATCAGGGCTTAATTAGGAGATGTGTTACCACAGCACACCCTGTTCAGAAACTAGTCCAGGAATGCTGTAGGTTCCAAGCCATTTTTCTTGGGGGCTAGTGTTGAGGGGTGGCATTTAAGAAGGGGGGGGAACCCAGAAAATACAATTAACTGAAAAAACTCCAACTCTAGCCTATCAGATATTTAACTTTATTGTGATTAAGTCAGTCCACAGGACTGAATGGCAAAGGCACGTCTGAAGTTTTTAGTGCTATACTTACAGACACCCTATTTTAAGTTAATAAAATGAACTTCTATATCTATCTCTCCCTTCAAGTCTTTTCTTCATTCTCCACTTTACACATTGCCTTAGGAATTTCCTGCTATTACTAATAAAAAGGACATCTATTTGTTTAATCCCAAAGGCATGCAGTTCAAATCTACCAGCTGCTCCATAGGAGAAAGATGGGCAAATTCCCCCCATGTGATTAATTGCCTCTGAAAACCCACTGGAGGGTGAGCTATAGGTCAGTTCCAACTCAACCGTGCACAAAACAATATGTCTAAAAGAGGAGAGCTCTGGTGGTTTATTGGTAAGCAGTTGCACTGCCAGCCCAAAGGTATGTGGTTGAAATCCACCAGCTACTCCATAAGAAAAAGACCATCTTCTCCCATGGGATTTACTGTCTCTGAAAACCCACAGGAAGTTCAGTTATGAGTCCGTTCTAACTAAACAGTACACAGCAACAACATATGTTTTACATAGAAAGCACTGTTGCTCATTGCTATTCAATAGATTTTAACTCATAGCAACCTAATAGGGCCGAGTAGAACTGTCTTCAGGGTCTACATGGCTGCTGTCTTTTCATAAGCAGAATGTCGCTTCTTGCCTTATGTATAGCAACATGTGTCAAACTACTGCTCGTTCCGTTGGCAGCTGAGACCTCTAACCACTTTGCAAACAGGGCTCCTTGGAATGGATCTATTCCAAACTCCTCATGACCATATGACCTAGGACAGGTCACACAACTCACTAATGCAGGATCTCAACCTTGATTTCCTTACTCCCACCCAGCCCGGTGTTCTTTCCACCTCACTGTGCATACTTTATAAATGACTGATACTAAACATGGTCGCTCAGGGATTCTAAAAAGACTATTTGAAGACAAGTTCAACTTCTTGTTTTCCTAACTTAAGAACAATCATTTCTGCTAGTGCAGACAACTCTGTGGCTCTGATCAATCAGTGGAGTGTGTTCCTTTGGTTTTCTGAGCCTGAAACAAGGTCACTGGTGTGATTCACTGGAGAAACGTTGGCCAGTGGCTTTCAGCCTCCCGTACTTATTTTCCAGGTGGCAGGATCAAGCTCTGAGATCATTCCAAAGCAGCAGCATCCTCCCTCAGTTGTCCAGAAAGTACTGGCTGATCACCTTCCCTCAAGGGCCAAGGACCTTTCCTCACACAATGGTTCCATTAAGAAGCCCCTCAAACACCACTGTGGTAAGAGCAGCGCCTCCTCGCTCAACAACCCAAATTCACTGGTAGTGAAGAACCCAGGCTCCACCCCTGGACCCTCACTTTCCCACAAAATGACTTCTGAATAAGCTTATCCTCTCTCCTAGGCACCCAGACAAAAGCTGAAAAACTACACCCAGCAAACCAGAAGGATGCCAGTCAACAAACCAGGTGAGTACTTGCTTGAGACACATCTTGACCCACCCTTGTCCCTTTACACTCCAATCAGTCCTCTCTTACTCATTTCCTAAATTTGTATTGAACATTCTCATCCAGGATGTGGAGATAGAACAAAGGAAATGTCTACATTCACTTTACTAAGAAAGAAAGCCCTTCCCCCACTCTACTGACTCATTAGACAAAACCAGAAAAGAGATCAACCTTTTGCATGCTGATAGGTTTTGAACTGCTGTCATTCTTTTTATTTCTTCTCTTGCCAGCAGTGGAGCTGCCATTCTGGATAAGGTAAGACATTTTTACTTTACAGAGGTTGAATCAGATGATATCTAGCCTCCTCAAAGGTCTAGCATTCCAGAAGTGCATGATAAACTCACGCGGAAATCTTCTTCCTGGAGGGTAAAGGGGTACTGAGCATAGACATTATATTATAGAGGGACCCAACCAGACCCAAGGCAGAAGCTCTTCTGTACAAAGCAAACCTGGCTCTGGTTCCATGATTCAGGATTTCAAATGGGTTAGATTTTGGGCTACTAACCAAAAGATTGGCAGTTCAAACCCACTAGCTGCTTCTCTGGACACCCTCTTGCCCCTGTAAAGATTTACAGCTTAGGAAACCAATGGAAGGGTGCCGTAAGACAGAACGGACTCTATAATAATGGATTTGGTTCAGGATTTAGTGTCTTCTTAAATATCCTTTTTCTTTCTCTCCAGGAAATCATCCAGCTTTCAGAGTATCTCAAAGTAAGTACCCTGTGAATTTATGCTCCAGCTTATCCACCCAACTACCCCCTTCCTTCTCTAAGTTAACATAACTTTGTTGCATTCTGCTCCCAACTCCCTACTCTAGGAAGCCCTACAACGAGAATTGGCCCTAAAACAGAAAATGGTGATTCTCCAAGATCTACTATCCCACTTGATCCTAGCATCTGACAACTCATGGAAGGTAAGGGGGTGAAATCTTTATGTGAATAATGCCTCATGGGCCTTCTACATGTATCCATCTCAAATTGTTCCACAATATCTCAACAAGAAAAGGGTTCCTCACTACTGGGGAGTGGGTTGGGAAGAGGCAGGAGGTAGGGAGACGGTGTTAAGAACTCAAGGTCAAGAATGTCTTCCGTAAATATATAGGAAAGCTTAGCTAAAACCCAGCTCACCACCAGAGAATCAAGCTACCACACACCCAAGTAAGATTCACGCTAAAAATCAGCAAGAATTTGTGTTTTAATGAGTTAAAATAAAAGCAAGAAGATCCCATGCAGTCAATATTTCTGAACATGGTAAGATGCTAGCTATTTAGAAGAGATCCACACCAATGTTTACTCCAAGATGTCTGCTAACTAGCCCTGGCCTGAAGGGCAGAGTCAGAGGGGACTTTAGAGATCAACTATGCTGACTATTTGAAGAGAAGGAAACTGAGTCCCAAAGAAGTCAAAGGACTTGCCTAAAGTCATACAACTAGTTAGTGGAAGAAATAAACCTAAAGTTCAAGCCTCCTGATTTGTAGCCCATTCATTTCACAAGTATTCAAGATCATGTTTCCATACCAAGCACTGGGTTAGGATTAAAAACAATGAGATTAGACAGAGTGTCTGTTTTTAGCAAGCTTGTGGCTTTGTTTGGAAAGCAAATGCCCAAACAATGCATTAGATAGAAAAAATGAAAGCTGTGTTCAAATTTTAGGAGAAATGCTTTCTCCAGGCAAACCTCTTCCCTTTTTTATTTAAAATATTTTTTCTACTGGTTTATTTACAAAGTTCACATGATTGTTTTTCACACCAGATCCCTTTTGTCTGGTTCCTGCACTTGGTTTGCAACAGGGTCCCCTAATAGTCTTCATTCCAGCCTTAGGGGGTGAAGTCTAAGCTGCAGGGAGACATTGGACCTTTTAACCTTGTCAACATCAACAAAAACAACAGGAAGTAATTTAACATATTGACAGGGAACAAAATAATATAGGCTTAAATGAACAAGTCAGTGAGGAAATTTTAAAAGTTGAGCAGAAATAGAACAAAAACTAAAACTCTTTGCCAGCCATCCACAAGTGTCTGGGCAGCTTTGGGAAGAGGTCGAAGAAAGGTTCCATTATTTGACTGGAACTGAAAGTGATAAAATTTGAAGATATTAAATCATGTTGCAGAACAGATTTTTATTTTGACAGAAGTTTGTGCTTAAAAAAATAAGAATTTGGGAGTGGTGATGCATATTCAAAAGCAAGTGAAATCAACTGGAATTCTAGAAACGACTTAAAAATATTCAAGTTCAATGCAGAATAAAGTCGGCAGGAAGAGGCAGGATAACAAAGCAGCAAGCTTCTTTACCTGGTTTGCTGGCCATTCTGATGCAGGTGCAGGTATATTGGGAGAGAGCAACAAAGATACTATTTGGCCAAAGCCACTAGAGTACTTTTTTTGATCCCAGATATGGAACACAGAGAAGGAGGGAAAGAGGAAAGAGAAAGATGAGAGCGGGAAGGAGGAGAGGCAAGTTTGGAAAATATTGATTAAGAAGGAGATGAAGATGAATTGGGAAGATGATGATGGATGGTAAAGGGGAGAAATGAAAGCAGATAAGGAAGATAATGGCTAATCAAATACTAATAGTTTCCAAACTTTTTTACCTTTTCTTCAGTTTCAGAGCAAGTTGTAGTTTGATTTTTCCCTCTCCCACTCCACTTCCTGCACCATCATGTGCTCAGTCATCCTGTTCTTCTTGTGGTTGTTGATTGCTGTCAAGTGGAGTATGACTCACAGGGGCCCTATGAACAAAAGGCCTGACGCCTTTCTATAGCTATGGACATTTATCAAAGTTCATAGGGTTTCTGGAGGCATGTGGTTTAGGAAGTGGATGCCACTCCTGCTTCCAAACCTGTCTTAAACTGGGAGCTCCACTGAACACTGTCCACCATGGCTAACGATTATGCCATTTGACACCACAATGGCACAAGGTTTAGCATCACAGCAACCCTAGGTTACCTCAGTACAGCATATTGACAGAAAAGTCCCATACCACTTAGAAGTATGTTCCTCCAAAATATAGTAACAACCAACTTTAAACATAAAGGTCTTCCCAGAGGTCTTGTTGACTCTAAACAAGAGGCTAAAATAAAAAAATTTTAAAACCCCACAACTCAATATAGCATGTTTTTAGACTCTCCTTTATATCCTATTTCTCCAGTTTTTTGGAGGTAGGGGAATAACTTGAGCACATCACAGTAGAAATAAAAGCAACCACTTTCTTTTCCTAATTAACTTTTATTCCTTCCTGTTTCAACTAAAACTATGAAATCACACACCACTGTGCCCTGTGAGAAAAAAGAAAAATCATCTTCTCCCTTCACTCTGTTGAAGTGGGAGGTGATAGGGCCCTAAGTAATCATGTATAGAATTCTACCCCTTTTTCTCTCCTATCCTGGTATGTTGGCCTCAGAGATTATAGTTATCCCCACATGAACCTGAGTAGTTAGTATTCAAAACACAGCGATTGTTGTCAATATACTGGATTTCAAGCATTAATGAATGAAAAGAGCCCAGGAAATATTTATACATACATAAGTACTTACCAAACAGACAAGGCTGCAGGAGAGGTATTCTACACTAAAGACACAGTCCAGGCAAAGACCCAAGGGCACAGTAAAGTCTAGTGTAGTGATTTGCCTTCATTGTTTTTAACTCAGGATCCCTTTATATTCTTTGGGGAAACTACTGAAAATCGAAAATAATATAATGCAATCACATTAGAATATACCATACTGGAAATTTAAAAAATATTCCCTTTTTAAAATTGCAATTTAAGAAATAAACTATGGTACATGTCAACATATATTATGTATATATACTGCAGCCTTCAATCTGGATTGAAGCTCAAGATCAAGAAAATAAAGATTCTTACCACTGAGCCAATTAGCAACATTATGATAGATGGTGAAGAGACTGAGATTGTTAACAACTTTTAGTTTGCTTTGCTCCACAATCAACACTCTTGTTACTGGCAGCCAAGAAATCAAGTGACAAATTGCATTGGGAAAGTTGGCTGTCAGGGACCTCTCTAGAGTACTGAAAACAACATCTGTCTGAAGACTAAATTGTGCCTGATTCAGGCCATAGTCTTTGCAATTGCTTGCAATGCATCAGAGAGCCGGACAATGACTAGAGATGATAGAATGAGAATTGATACCTTTGAGCTGTGATGCTGGAGAGAGGAGTGTTGAATATACCATGGGCTGCCAGGAGAACAAACAAGTTCATCCTAGAGAGGATGAAACCAGGCTGCTCCTTGGAGGCACAGATTCTGAAGCTTCGTCTGACATTCTCTGATCATGTTGTAAGGAGGGACCAGTCCCTGGAGAGGGACATCATGCTTGGAAGGGTGGAGGGACAGAGAAAGAGAAGAAGACCCTCAATGAGAAGGGTTGATTCAGTGACAGGGATAATAAGGTTAGGTATGTCAGAGACAGTGAAGTTGGCACAGGATAGAGCAGGGCTCTATTGTACATAGGGTCACTATGAGTCGCAAGTGACTTGACGGCACATAACAACAACAGTACATGTCAACATAAATTTTAAAAAAATACACACACACACACACACACACACACGTAAGTGGGAACCAACGTAGAGCTGACTCTTTGTGAGTTTTTTAGAGGCAGTTAATAGTACAAGAGGAGAGTGCCCATCTTTTCCCTGCAGAGCAGCTGGTGGATTCAGACCGCAGTCCTTTGAGTTAGCAGCATAACTCATTACCACTAGGCCACCAAAGTTCCGTGTGTGTGTGTATTTCCAAACCAAAGAGGGGGGAAGTAAGAGGAATGACATTGTTTTACCGTTTTGCAACTATTTTTAATGCTTAATAGAATCCTCATATTTGCTTCTGTATTTTATCAAAACAATTCTATAATATGCTTTGATTGAAGTCTACGTAGAAAATTTGCTTTCAGACAAGTATGTAATTGGAAAAGACTAGCTCTTGCTGCTTTCTTAAAGAGGTTGGGGATTTCCAGGTGTCCTCAGACTTACTTCGAGTACCCCAAGTATAGTATGGGAGCTTTAATGGCATAGTTTGTAGGAGTTGTGCAGCTCACCCAGAGGTCATACCTCTCTGGTGGTTTGACTTCACCACAGGCTCCATGGGAGAAAGACGGGCCATCTCCATTCGTATGATTTACAGCCTCAGAATCCCAATGGATAGTCAGCTATGAGTCAATTCCAACTAGACAGTGATGACAGGGAGCTGAATATGCTCAGAAAGCTACATGAACCTTGAAGCCACAGACACATAAAACACCAGCTGTCCAGAGTAGGCCCCCCAGAAGTCTCTTCACAGGCCTCCCTGATCACACCACCCCACTGCATAGACGGTTTGCATAGATGGTTTGTGCGCAGAGAGATGTAATAGGAGGAAGTGGAGAAGTAGACACATTCACAGTGATGTTTTAAAAATTACATCCTAAGCTCAGCCTCCCTCCTCATTTTAGTCATTATAACTAGGTTCAGGTGTACGTGGCAAGGGTCCTTGGCTGTTAAGGAAGTTGTTTTCAGTGGTAGAGTATGAGCCTAGGATAGACAGCTGTGTGTGCCGGGTGTTTTCCGGTATTGAAATTAAAAAAAAAACCAAAAAAAAAAAACACAAAACAAAACAAGCTACAACCCACAGTTGCTGCCCAGTAGATAAGGAGTCCTGGTAGTGTGGTGGTTACACTCTTGGCTGCTGACTGGAAGGTCAGCAGTTTAAATGCACCAAATGCATCTCTGGAGAAACACCTGGTGATCTACTTCTGTAAAGATTTAAAATAAAACAAAACAAAACGGGAGCCCTCCACTGGGTTTCAGTGGCTGCAAATCTCTATAGAAAGAAAAGTTCCATCTTTCCAGAGTAGAGCAGCTGGTGAATTAGAACTGTTGACCTTTTAGTTAGCAGCCCATCACCTTCCATGAATGCGCTTCC